ACCTACCTACCTACCTACCTACCTACCTACCTACCTACCTACCAACCACATTTTTGGAAATTTGTTTGCCATCGTCTTCTTCTTGCTATGACTGTGCGAGAGTGTGACTAGTCCCAAGGCACCCAGTTGTCTATGTGCCTTAGGCGGAACTAGAACTCACAGTCTCCCAGTTTCTAGCCCTGGTGGTTTTTCTGCACACAGGAAGGGTTTGTAGAGATTTTTTCCCCCTGCACCTTTCCCAGCACTATAGTATTGGCTTCAATAAAACTTAGTTAGCAGAGATAGTAATTCATTGTTAGATTGTATTTGTATCAAAGGGTGAAGAAATAGGCAGTTACTACCAATGGTTCTCAAAGAGGAAGAAGCGTTTCTTAATCCAAGCTGAGATGTCAACACAAATTGGTCAGGGGTGAACATGTGTGCAATGTATGCCTTTTCTTTCCTTGAAAACGTTGGAGAAGCCTACCAGCGCTTCGCAGGACCAGCAATACCATTCTGCAGAATGAAGCCATTGTTTAAAATGGCAGATGTTGGAGGGGGAGGTAGCATTCCCAGCTGTTCCTCCAGAGCTCTTAGGCTTTTCCTCTAAGCCAGTGTTTCTCAAATGAATGGTCTATTGCAGTGTTTCTCAACCTTGAGAACTTTAAGGTGTGTGGACTTCAACTCTCAGAATTCCCCAGCCAGCCATGCTGGCTGGGGAATTCTGGGCGTTGAAGTCCACACATCTTAAAGTTCCTGAGGTTAAGAAACACTGCTCTAAGCTGTCAAAGACTAACTATGGATGCCACACAACCTGTCATGAGCCTCCTAAACTAGCCTGCCTCAAGTGCTAGTTGAGAAAGACACAGTGCTCCATCACCAATGCTAAAGGAGAATTCAACTTTCAGAGTTTTGGAAGAAGAAACCTCTAGCCTTTTGTCCCATGCATAAAGGTATCTTGATTGTTTTGTTTAACAGTGCTTTATTTAGTGTGATTAGAATAAAGTACAGAGTGAAGTAGGCAGAGAGGAAAACCCAAACCTAGAAACTACTGAAACACATTCTTCAGCCATTCCATCAGGTCTCAGGAAAAGAAGAGAAAGAAATCAGGGACAGTTCCTGCTCTATTAAGGACCCAACACATCATACTCTGCCTCTCCCCCCTCCCCTTGTAATCTTGAAACTGCCCCATCGGACAGCAGGAGAGGGAAAGATCGGAAGTTCAACTACTGTGTTAGCCCAGCAGTGAGATCAGTGCCTCACCTTCTTCCTGACTCTGAGCTCTTTCCATTCTGTTTTTAAGCAGCACATCTCTCGGAAGATTGTGATGATCAGATCCATAAACCACTGCAGCTTTATATCAAAGTGACCTGTTTTCCTTTGTTCTCCCCATTCCTCTTCCTTTGAGTTGCATTGTTTTTAGAAGGCAATTATGGAAGCAACTTTGCATAAAGAAATGACCATATTCCAACGAAGGAGGAGGAGGATGAGAAGACAAAGAATGGATGAATTTGTTCAATGACTAAAAATAGCGATGGTGGTTGATAAACATCATTGGAAAAGACTTTCCAAAGTTGATGCCATGACCATAAATACCCTTCTCTCTTGCCTCTGTCAGTTTCATCTCGGGCAGGAGAAACACATGGATAATGTTCACTTGGTGAATTTTCTCCTGGAAGACTCACTAGAATGACTGGGACCCAGAGGAAGAGTTACTATTCTCTTAATTCAGCTAACATTTTCATAACCATGTAATCTGAGTATTTGGGGTAAAATGACTGGCATATGCCTTATATGTGCATGCAATTTCATTTATTTGTAATGTTTATGTACCATCTTTCCACCAGCAGCTCATGGTGGCAGATAGAGCAACCCTTTCTCCTGTTTTTCCCCATAACAACAGGCTTGCTCTTGAAAACTGAGGGTGATTTGAACATGGGTCTGCCTGGTCCTGTTTCAGCACCTCTACCACTGCACCCCACTGGGATCTTTTCTTTCCACCTATTCACAGCTTTTTGAAAGAAAGTTGGACACGCTGTCTGCTAAGAAACTTAGGAAGAGTCTTCAGCATCTGTTGAACCAAAGCATGAATCTTGTTAAAATCCTTAGGATGTGATGTTTAGTACTGGCTTAATTGTTCTATATAAAGATTTGACTCAAATATTTGGCTTAGAGACAATTCAGTCAATTCACTTCTTTGTACTAAATCTTAAAACTGAATCACTAAACTGGCCTGGCATATTGATTTAGGTCCCTTCAGATTGATTTGATGATATAGCTGGACTTTTGCAGAAATGTACACACACACTTTTTATTGAACTAATGAACCAGATCACATCATGTCTATTAGGTTGTTTGAATGGACAATCCAAACTGAATCAATTCAGCTGTCAAAATCAAAATATTGATTTATAGGTCTTGGGCAGCTATGTATTCCTGCTACTATCTTAATCAAAATAGAAAAGCTATTTTTCCTCCCCTTTAGAAGGTTAATCCCTATAAGGATTGGATTTATTCTTAAAGAAAGAAAGAAAGAAAGAAAGAAAGAAAGAAAGAAAGAAAGAGAGAAAGAGAGAAAGAAAGAAAGAAAGAAAAGAAAAAAGAATGTGGGCTTAAACTTGGCTAGGTAATGGAACATGGATCATGGAGAAGTAATTTATCTGCCTTTCTCTTTTCTGTTTTTCTAACATCCAGGTTGTGTTATCAACAACAGTGAACGTCGACGGGCATGTCTTGGCAGTATCAGACAATATGTTTGTTCACAACAACTCAAAACATGGGCGGAGAGCAAGGAGGCTTGACCCTTCAGAAGGTATGATTCTTTCACTGGTCTCCAAGGTGATGGTGAAATGTCACCCAATAAAATAGGTCAGCTTCAAAAGAATACAAAATAACTAGTTTGGGGTTATGAGTTTTAACTATAAGCCTCCACCCCAAAATTTTTACACACCTGGCTTCCTCCAGGATAAAATTTCTCCCAAGGTCTTCCAAAACCTGATGCCAAATTGTAATTTTTATCAAGGGATAGAAAGGAAAAGTTATTTACATATATGGCTGGAGAATAATCATTTTAATTGTATTTAATTTGAATACATTCTAAGATCAGTCTGATCTTAATTGCGTTTAGCTTTTGTCCTGGCCTCATCTACTATTTTTTGGCCAGTTACTTGCCATGTCCTCCCAAATACCAAAATAGAACAGGTTGCATACCCCTATACTTGTTTTTCACACATCCGAATACGAAGATCTAAGGACATCCTTTGAAAGCTTATTTGGATACATTTCTATCCTTCTCTCTCATCAAGAGAGCCTTATTAGTCCTTCTGGTCGTGGAAGTGATGGGCATACATTCAAACAAATGCCCATCCACCTTTGACATGGATGCATGCCATTTTAAAGACCTTTGGGTACTGTAAAAATATTGATTTCTGGTCATATTTGCATGTAGATCAACACTAGGTATATGCTAGAACTACCCTTTGAGAGGCCTGATTTTCCGAAATCTGTCCTGAAGAAGTCCCAACCTTTGCTTTGTACTGTCCTGTGTTTTGAAAAGATATTAGAGTCATCCTTAAAACATTTAGCATCACAGATTTTGAAGGGATCTCAAACATTATATGGTCTACCATCTCACTGATGAAGGAAATATGTAGCTGCACACCTCTGAAAGGGATCATCAAGCCTGTGCATGTAGCATACCAAACTTCCTAGGCTGTTTGGGCCATCCCAAACACTACCCCAGCAGAATTTCTCTCTATTCATAACATCTTGTCTTCTAATTTGAAACTGGTGATTCTGTTTGAGTACATATCAAATGTACTCCATCATCTTTGCAAAGACTTTTAAATGTTTGAAGAAGACTTCCCAATTTCTTTCTAATCACCCCTCATTTCGGTCTACATAGAACCAGTTACTTCAAGCTTTTCCAGTAAGAATTGACCTCCCACCCTTCACTATTCTTGTTATTTTCTTCTGAACATATAGTACTGGTATTAATAGCTATCAGTGTCCATCTTTAAACTTTCCTAAATCTTTATTCTTTAATCTTTCCTTATTCTTTGTTTAGATTCACACATCACACTAACTCAGGGGTCTGAACTTCAGCTTGTCACATAAGAGGACCAGCTCATTAGCCAGAGGGCCACAACACCAAAGCTTTTTCATACATTGGCACAAAAGCTTCTAGTGAATAAAAATGTACCCAGAACTCAATTTGTTAAAAAAAAAAGTTATTGCAAATCAGAGCTCTTTTCCCCACCAGTTTACTTTGGCCACCTATCTGCTTTTCATTAAGCAGAACATCAATGTAATTACTTTGATATCAGGGCTCAGCCTCATGGTCCTGGGAGTTGTTGAGTCCCTTGAATGGCAAGGAGATAGAAATGGCTTGATGCTTGAGCAGGACAGGCCTATGGCAGTGCACTCCTAGCCACTTGCCTGATGTCCAGTCCTGGCCCTAGTTGTGACAGTGCTTCAGTGTGGGACTAGGAGTATAGGTCCACGTGGCCTTATTCCTTCTTTGCCTAAGGAGGATCTTCTGCAAGACTGACAAGCTGCAGATATACTTTTCTGCCATATGTGCAGTGAGTGACACACTTTCTATGGTTCTAGGCTGAGTCTGAGCAGGTACCCTCCTTTCTCTCCCTCCTTGTCTCTGTCAATCACATTTGCTCTCCTCTCACATTGTATACCTCCTGAAATGGGCCATGCGGCTTCCTTTTGGGGTCTTTCTTACCAGCTGAGGAATGCATGTTACTCAGAGCTTGCGCTTTCCTGAGCACTGCTGCAGACTGTAGCAAAATGACTTGGAGGGTTGTGTGCATTCCACAGGCCAGACCATGGATTTGTTGAACAAGCCATAGTTGAACAAGCCTAGTTCACACATGATGTTAAGCTATAAACCTGATTTAGAAAACACAATGGCTAGATTCACACATCCCATGGCTTACTGAATCACAGTGTACTGAATAAGCCATGTTGGCAGTTGGGGTGAGGCCCTAAATTATGATTTGCAAATTGAAGCGGCTGGGCTCACACATCCCATTAAGCCAAAATCAAACACACCCGATTATGGCTTAGAATAATGGGTGAACTTTATTAATGGGTGAAAAGTGCTTTTATGTCCCTTGGTATTAGCAAGATAATCATATCAGTTGGGGACAGACAAACATTTATGGTCATACTATACACATGGACAGGGCAGGATATTTTTCCTGTTTTGTAGGGAGGGGTGTTTCTTTTGCTTTTAAAACTAGGTCAAGTCTATTTGAGCTTATCTCTCAGTGCTTATGCGCTACCACATCAACATGAAATTTGACAGTGAAGTGAATCAGCACAATCTCCCCTCATTTACACCAGGAAAGGAGGGGAGTGTATAGCACAAGGACAGATATTTTTAGTAACCTGGAATGGGACATTCCACTCCCCCCACCCCATGACTTGTGAAAAATGTGAAAATCACAGCATTGTGAAAATCACGGCATGTATAACTGAGCCCAGTTTTTCTCTCTGGGATGCTGGGCATTATAAGGAAAGGCCTGGAATAAGGCATGGTCCATATCCAGCCAAACACAATCACAACCTCTCTGTGGACCTGCTAGTTCAATTCTGCACATTTGAGGGTCAAGGAAAGAAATTTCGCATCCCTGACCCAGTTCCTCAGTTACAAGTTCATAATTGCCCAGTGGTGGTGGAGATATATTCACAAGTGACCCAGTTCTTTCTATCCCTTAACTTTGCAACCTTCTTCTTCTGCATTTGATTGTGTACTTTGGCAGCAAAAATTTGGCCGTGGCTAAGATCCATCTGCTTGAGCGTTATCTTGCTCACGGAAGGAGATATTCCTTGCAAATGAAATCAGTGGTCTCTGAACTTGCAACAACCATCCTGTCAAAGAAATTTGGGTTGCCCCCTGCATTTTTTCCTGCCCCCTCCCTTCCCCCCCCCTCCCGGCTCCTTGAAGTTGGAAGAACCAAGAGGCGACATGGTAAATATTCTGCCAGGGAACGTCAGACTTTTTTGCTCAGCTGGGCTGGACTTGATCTTTGAGCAAATCAAGCCGCATGACATCTTAGTTAAACAGAAATGGGACCAGCGCAAGATGTGTATGAAAAAGTGTCAGCCGCTCGCTTAAACAAACGGCGCGAAACATAACAATGCGCAGAAGGGAAACTGACACTAATTGATTTTCGTTTGTTTGGCTAAGCGAGGCATCGCCATCGTCTGCAGGCTGTATTTTCAAGCAATTACAAATCGTTGGATCTGCTAAGCTTCAAATTGGATAATCGCCTCCACTCTCTCCAAGCCCCATTCTGGCACCAGTTTTTTTTTTTTTTTTAAAGCCTAGAGAAGCCCCTCTTGGCCCTTTCCCCGTAGCGAGTGAAAGTGAGAAGGCTTTGTGACGTTACGAGAAGAGACAAGTTGGTCTATTATTTCATTAGGGTTGTTTTGTTGCATTCCCCCCACCCCTCCTGTTAAAATGTGCCCTGCCTCAACCTAGAGGAGAATTAATGAACTGGAAGAAAATGATTGAATCAGTGAAGAATTCAGAGCAGTGTTAATTCTCCCCCAGCGGGCAGTGAAATGGTAGAAGAAAACTCCCAAGCTTCTAAACCTACGAAACCTTCCAGTTTTTCCTTGACTGATTGAATGTGATTGACTGGCTGTTCAAAGGAGTCTTGTAGTTTTGGAGCTCTGCCAAAGCTCTCTTCCACCTCTGACCTTGTCAACATTGGGAATCGAGTGATGGATTGACTTTGGTTATGGACTGGAAAACCATATTGGGCTCTTGATGGGATGTATAGTCCAGAGGCCTTGAATGTATGGGAATGGGGGGGGCAAGGTGGGGGATTTACCCTATCTTATAAAAACCAGGCGTGCTTAACATGAGTTAAATTGGGATAAAATGGGAGGATTTTCAGTGTATTCAAGCCATCAGTAAAACCCTTGATTTCAACACCCAGCTCCAGAGGAAAATGAAATATTTCTATTTAATCAAAACAATTCGAGGATCCATCAGATTATAACAAATAAATCATGGGTCTACTCAAAGAGGCTGACAATAGATTTTTTTTTTTTTTTTTTTAATCATGGGGAAGAGCATACTAAGGAAAAAGGAGAGAAAAGGAGACAGAAGAAAACAGGAAAAAATATGTGTTCTTCTCAAGGGAAAACTGGAACTGATGTTAATTATGTAACTGCAGCTAATAGCTGGGTTTGCACATCACACTGACTGTGATTTGTGTAATCATAGTTTACTGAATTAGCTACAATGACTGGCTTTTAAATAGCCATCAAGCCTAGTTTGAAAACCACAGTAGCTGAGTTCACACAAAGTACTGAACCAAAATGAAGCAAATTATTTTATGTGTTAATGTAGTACAGTATGTCAAACAGGTCAAAATGTGTCTCTGAAAAAAATAAAACAACTAATAAGAACTTTGAGGTTAACTTCTACCAAGACTGCAATATGAAGAAAAAGGTTGCATTCGTGTACCATTTGTTTTCGTCCTAAATGGATTGCTTCTGGGGCTTCTATTTAAATGTTGTAGCTAGACCTATTGCAAGCTTTGGTGTAACCATCTCTAATAAGCCACCATAACATCAAAAGGAGGACATGAGGACATTGAGTCATTGTGCAAATGTTACAGTTATGTACTTGTGTCATGATGTCTGATATAAGTACATAATCTGTCTATTTGCATGATGACATCATATACCCGTCATCATTTGCCCCCTTTCCATGGATAGCCATGCATTGTGATTAGTTTAATGTTGTTGTACTTTTCTTGTTCAAGAGTACTGTTTCCCATCTCAGTAAGATCTCCTTACTCATGGTTCAGGCAGTACACAATCAAAATAAGTCAAAATTTCCATTCCAGGAATACAGTCCATTCCTGACTGTGTCCTCCAGGAAACATCTGATATCTCAAAAGCTTTTACACCAGCAGTGGACTGGAAAGGTTTCATGACATCAGGCTTACAGTATCAATCTGAATTTGAGAGATGTGTCCTGTGCTGCTAGGTCTTAAAAATGAATTTGACAATGGAGGGGTTTACTTTTTCAACTGCTCTTCCTCTGCATCTCTTTTTCTTAGGGGACTTGGATTTAAATGTTCCATGTGACTACTGAGTGGGTGGAATTAGTTTCATCTTGTACATGACTGGGCCTGTTTGGGGTTAACTGTGACCCTTTGGGGATTGGTTAACTGGGTCAGTTAATCACAGCATATTATACCCCTAATTGTCCCAGTTAAGCACATTGTGGGGAAAAGTCTACAGCAAGGATGGATATAGGCCTCATCTACTGCTATTCCATAGCAGCTAGTAATTAAAGTCTGCTGCTTGTGATTCCAGAGGTAGTAAATAGCCCTCAATGCTAGCAGCCATTGTTAGAAAGGTCCTCCATGAACTTTTTTAAGCATCTAAATTGGTGGCTATCATCACATCACTTCCATAGTTTATTCCATAGATAAATTCCATAGTTTATCTATTCATTATTTAAAGAAGGATCTGTGTTGAATCTCTCTGCATTTAATGTACTGTACATGGATGACTCTCTGTTCTAATAATATGGGAGAGAAAAAACTCTCTGGGCACTTTTTTCCTCACCATGGTTAGCTTTCATGCAAACTTCTGTTGGTCTCTTTGATTTAATAGAATATGAATGGGGAAGACTAGATAGAAGAAATAGAAGAAATTGTTTTTGGTATTTGGGGTGGTGACCTTGGCCTACGGCACAGAATTTTTCTAAAAATTATGAGCCAAGACAGTTGGATTATTTACTAATCTTATGTGTTCCAAGCATAAATATTTTATTCATTTCATTTTATTAAAAGTATATATTGTTTTTCAGTCCGGTGGGACTCTCAAAGTGATATACAGTTTTTTAAAAAATAAAATAAGCTATGATGAAGGCAAAAACAAGCCTTCCTTTAAAAAAAGCTCCTTTTGGAAAGTATCAAAATTTGAGCAGTTGGTTGCTTAAAACTGTCATTCTAAATCTTATGATGAAGATTTACTATGAATCTCATAGTATTTCTGAAACCTTTTCTCCCTTTCATTTCAAGCTACCTTTTAAAAAACTGCTGCTGTTTTACTGGCATTCTCTCTTTTTTCATTTTTATTTTCTGAGGAATTTCCCCCTGGAAGACACCCATGCCTTTTTGAAATGAGCAAGCAATTAAAAAGAAGAATTTGCTGTAAATGCTTTATATGAAATTGGGAAGTACTGCAGTCATGATTCGTTTACCAGCTTGAGTTCTTTATTTTTGCTGATCCTTACTTTATTCCAGTTCAAGAGCAGTGATGCATCTAATCAAGCATTGACTGATTTGAGTGGCAGTCGTTCTCCAGAGACACAGGTGGAATTCTCACTCTGACTATCTAAGATCCTTGACTCAAGAAGCAATGAAAAAACTTGGGAATTTCTATATAGACTATAGAAATGTGATCTACCGCTGAGTGAACTCATATTTCATGGCAACTCTCTCTCTGATTTGTTTGCTTCTTTTCTTCCCATAAAACAGGCATGCTCAGGTTTTGGCCTGGCCCAAAGCAAGCCAGTTTCTTGGCTTATAGCTTACTAACCAATGCAACAGAGCTGGTCTATGAGAAATAGCTGATTAGAAAGGGCAGGTGTTCCCTCTGGGAAGGGTTGTGCAGCTTTTGAGCGGCTATGATCCACACTTGGCAATGGGTGGCTGCACTTCAAAAAATCATGGGCAGAGTCAGCACAAAAATGAAGCATTCCTTGTCATGCTTAATCATGTCTCCAGTTGGTCTTATTAGAAGATTGCAATTTGGTAGCAACTTTTAGAGGTCTCTGGGGCCACCACGAAGAAGGCTTTCAGGGAGCACATGTGGTCCTGAGGCTTTGGGTTGTTTACCTCTGTCCTAAGCTATCAGGCTGAGAATGCAAGACAATATATTGTTGCCAGTGTTGAAGTAACATTAAAAAATGCTTTATCAGCTGTAATTTACACTTTCAAATAATTCAAATGATTTAGCAATCATTCAGTTCCTTCTTCCCAGTAAACCTTGGGATAACACTTATGCAGAATCAATGTATTATAGTGATTCAGGTGTAGAATTTGGACTGGTGAGATCCACCATCAAGTTCCTGGTCCCCAGGGAATTCAGTGCAAGATTTTGGGCCAGTCACTCTCTCTCATCATCACCTACTTGATAGGGATTTTACTGGGGCAAAGTTGCATGAATCCTTTCCATGTATATCACTTTGAGCTCCCAGAGGAATCAAATGAAGGAAATTGTCATCATCATTTATCATCCCAATTTACTTTTTCTCTCCCTGGATACATAGAACACTCTAATTTGCTTTTTATGGTTTAATGTGTTGCATGAACCCAGCCATTTATGGTTCTTTCAATAAATATGGTTAAGCAATATTGCTTTATATTTTGTGTGATAAGCCAATGTCTTCTAGTGAGAGGGCTAAACATATACTGTGAATCTTCAGTATCTCTCCAGACCTCAATTCCCAGACTGGAGAAGGCAGGGAGGTGGGGAGCCAAGAAACTGACTGAAAATGGTCATGTCCTAGATGCCTGAAAGCGCAGAAAATGGACGTCACTGAAAGGCAAAGCAGTTTTCCCAAATTATCCAGAAACAAGAGAGTAAGGGGTAAAAAATATCTTTTCAGCATCTGTTTTAGGCACTCACTTTGCCATTTCTCTCTGTCTTTGGCAAACCACTGCTGAACAAGCTTGAATAAGCTTGTCTGGGATAGATCTTCCTGGCTGAGATCTTCCAGGAGGAGAAAGGGCAGCAGTCTCTTTAGGTTCCCAGTGCAACTGTGATAATTCAGACAACCACTAATGAGGATGAAAATGAATTTAAATAGCTGAAATGTTAATGGATCACCGTATATTGTAAGTTTTTGGCATTCTTGTCTAAAATCTCATGAGATGCAATGCATGAATACAGGATGCTCATGAAGTTGGTTGATCTCATGAGTTTTGAGTGTTGGGGTTTTTTTTAAATATAATTTGTACTTCATATGATGTTTCCACAGTTCCCATAAGAAGGTATCATTGTGCCTTGTGCTACATTCTTGTTCTGTAGGAAAAAATCCATAGCTGAGAAATTGGGAGCTGTAGAGCCATCAAAGGAAGTCTTTATATGAGCTCCATCAGAAAGCTAACTCTATTGTCTCTTTCTTTCCTTTCTCTTGTATCTTCTCTCTTTAGCCACTCCATGCATCAAAGCTATTAGTCCAAGTGAAGGCTGGACCACTGGTGGAGCCATGGTGATCATTATAGGGGACAACTTTTTTGATGGGCTACAAGTCGTATTTGGGACCATGCTTGTATGGAGTGAGGTAGGCAAGCTTGCTTTCTAGCTGCATTTTATCAGGCTGTCCTTGAACAGTCAAGGTAGTTTGGATTTGCTCTAATCATTACTCAGAGGTAGCATCAAGGGATAGCAAAGATTCCTAATATTCTCCATTGCTCTATTTCTGTTTTAATTTGAGTATAATTTACATAATTGTACATTATGTAGTACAACTGACCAGACCTTTCTTTCATTCAGATTTATTACCATCTTCCCTAAAACAATAGCAAACAATGGTGATGTGATTGCAGATAGGATGCACACATGCACACACACACGTGTGTATTGTCTTTTGCATATAGGCATGTACTTCTGTGTGTGGATAAAGCACAGTTCACACAACTACAGAGATCCTAGCTGAAGGGATAATTCATAAAGGGGCAGAGTTCTCAGCAAATAAAAAACAAGAAGATATCTATTCCTAATGTGCTATATAAAATTGAAAAGAAAAATCATGGAGAATTTCAAATTATGTTAATTCCACTTTGGGAAATAGAGCAAGTATTTTAGAACGCCAGAATCAGGGGAGAAGTATTTTAGAAGTATTTCTAATCTGAAACCACAGATTGTACTCCTGTGTGTGTGTGTGTATGAGTCTCCCATCACACACACACAAACACACTTCTTTATGCTTATTTATTTACCCCCCCCCCCAAAAAAATCCCCATAGATTCAGCAGGTAAAACCAAAGCAATTAAAACACAAATAGCTAAATGTTGAATTTTAAAGGCTTAGCAAAAGAGATGTGCCTTAACCGATGTTCTAAAGAGGAGTCACAAAGTAGGGTATTCTATAGGTTGATGAAAACGCAGGGGAAAGTCTCTCTCCCACTTTCTAAGAAATGGGCTTCTAAAAATGAGTATATTTTCAGAAGGGCTTTTCTTGATTTTAATGCCTGGACAGATTCATAATGAATGAATTAATCTCTCAAGATAATCAGAGTTTGGGTCATCTAAGGGCTTTAAATGTTAAGTGCCTTGAATTATGCCCAGAAAATTCTTAGCACCAGTGTAGGCCATGCAGTTCAAGCCTTATATGATATACCAGTGTCACACACCAGTTCACAGCCGATCTGACTCTTCAAGGATAGTTGAACACAGAGCACAATGTAGGAGTAAATCAGGATGTAACCAAGCCTTGAATAATTGTTTCCAAGCCCTTCACAGTTAATCAGGTAAAGATGTCTTCAAGTCAAGCTTGGTTCCTGTTGATGACATGGGCAGAATCAGGCAATTTTCTTGGCAACACTATGGAAGTGGTTTGTCATTGACAATGACTTCTCCTTCTCCTTCTCCTTCTCCTTCTCCTTCTCCTTCTCCTTCTCCTTCTCCTTCTCCTTCCCTTCCCTT